AAACATGATTCCATAGCAGGTACAATAGTAAAAAATAAAATATTTAAGAAATATTATATAAAAACACATAAATATAAATATATAGAAGTCAGTCGCGTGCATACAATACAAGCAAAAAAGCATTGCCTACCTTGGAATAATTAAAATTTACTTATTTTTTTAATTTAATGTAGGTAAACCTACATAATAAATAATATTTAATAACATAGTTATTAACCAATTTATATGTGCCTTTACTTTTGCAATCTATTGTATCAATGTGATACTATCACGGTGAAATGCAGATTCGTTTAACGTATAAGCATCGCATAGAATAGATTGGGCAAGCACAAAATCTTATTTCGTATTCACACGTACAGCAGTTTGAAAAAAAAATCCACAAAATAGAGGGTGGGAGAAAGAAGCGAGTTTTACTCTTCTTAGGTGTGGGTGGCGATCAACTGATTGATAAAGTCAATTTTAATAAACTAAAATATTAAAAAATGGATATTTGAACGGATTGTAACTGTGGTGTAGATGTGAACTGTGTTGAAAGGTTATTAAAAATATCGTTTATAAGTGGTTGGGTGGGTGTGTCCATAATAACAAAATGTACTGTTGGCCCTGCTTACTATTTTACCAATTTCCAGACTTGGGGTAAGTTATAGTTATATTAGATTTTGACTTTAATAAAAATGCCTACCTTGCTTTAAATGGCACTGCACGCCACTGATAGAAGTACATGCACTTATCAGTTTTATTATAGATATGTAAATAATAGTTTTTGACAGACGCGACATCACATAAATCGTTTTTTGTTTTGTGTACCAGCAGTGTATGATGATCCCTAAAAGTAGAAGAAGCAATTTAAAGAGCTGACTCAGCTCAGTGGCGACAAACAATGGAGGATAAAATAGATTCCTTCCATGAAAATGATGCATGGGATGCAGTGGACCTTTAATATTTATATATTAAAGGTCCACTTATGGGACTAATAGTATTAAAACTGTTTATCAAAGGTGGAGCCAAATCCGAATAATTATTCAGTATTTAGTACATACAAGTAAAATAGTTAGTATACTATTTAACCTATAGGTTTTATAAAAGCCTTTGGGTCCATTTTTACTATTCCACATTTAGCCGAATATTTTTATTTATATAGGTATTTGTGTAGAATTAACCCTAAATATAAAAATAATATCTCTAAAAAAAAAAACAACTAGGTTAAAACTTATATGTGTTTATTAAAATTACACATACAAATTTTGAATAGCACTGTATCCAGTCTTTTAAAAATTATATACCCTACATATCATATTAAAAAATTTTGCAAAATCTTATTAACTACCTATTGTTAAAAAATACCCTATGTATACATTTAACGTAGTAAAAATAATACAAGTCTATTAAAAATAAACTATAACTTATTTTGAAAGTATAAAATAATCTAAAAATAAAATATATACAAAGGGTATTACATACATACGCTCCATCATAACGAAAAATAGTATACATAACAAAGTAAGAAACAACTAGAAGCATTTACTTTCAATTTCTTTTTAATTATGTATGAAAATTGCGAATGATTTCTATAAGTAAACACATATCCTAACAAGGTAAATCATTCACAATTCAAATTCATAAAATTACATTGTCAAAATGTTTATTTTTGTATCACAGGCATTTTGAGGCATACTAATTAAGAGGAACAGCAGCAAATTAAATTATATTTGGTGATGTTATTTAGTAATCCTTTAAATTAATAAAAAATTACATAAAATAAATTAAAAAAGACGTGTCTACATAATACATATATAATAGATCTACAATAGGAATATGGTTACTATATATAACAATATTAAAAATCTACTAACTTATACAGGGTGCGGCAGAGAGGACGGACGGTTTTAAAAAAATCATAAAATAATTAATTTTTACTCAAAAACAAATTTATTGATGGAATCAGGTTCGCAAGGAAATAGCATTTGAGACAGTCGTGTGGAAAATCACATCAGGCATGTGGTGGCCGAAATCGTTGATGCAGTGCTGGAGGCCAATGAACATTGCCAACCTGGAAATAAGGCGACCAGTGAAGAGAGGGAAAATAACGTCCCTCTGGCTGTGTGGGCGGTCGCCCCATCCTGCTGGAACCACACACGTCGGATTGGAACACGTCGCCGTCGTAATTCAGGGAAAAAGAAGTTGGTGATCATTTCGACGTAGCGCTCTGAGTTCACGGTAACAGCACGACCATTACCGTCTTCGAAGAAGTAAGGGCCAATAATGCAAGTTTGCGATACAGCACACCAAACTGTTACTTTTGGGCTGTGCAGCGGTCTTTCGTGTAACTGTTGCGGATTTTCATTAGCCCAATAACGGCAATTCTGCTGGTTAACCATGCATCAACGATTTCGGCCACCACATGCCTGATGTGATTTTCCACACTTGACTGTCTCAAATGCTATTTCCTTGCGAACCTGACTCCATCAATAAATTTGTTTTTGAGTAAAAATTAACTATTTTATGATTTTTTTAAAACCGTCCGTCCTCTCTGCCGCACCCTGTATTAAGATATTCTTAAAAAAGCTTAGATTCGTGTAAAACCAGTTCAACACCTAACAAATAAATGTTATTTCATAGGCATTTACTTTTACTAAAAATACACCCTTGCATTTAATGTGACATATGTAAATATTTGCGCACAAAATGTACTTTCAGTAAATTTACTGTATTTATACTGCATATAAATATATGTAACAATCAATCAGCGACATAGTTCAAATTATTCTGCCATACAATTTAAAAACACTACAAAACTATGGTTGGCTATAATCAAAACATATATATTCCTGACCTAATGGGTAAATGAAGGTGTTTTTATTTATTGGAGCAAAGTGCTGCCAAACTTAAACTTTCAGAATTCTATCACTTAAAAAGAAAGATTTAGTCTTTTTTGCCTTGCAAAAATTATTTTTTTAAATTTATATTGATATTATGTTTTGTAATTGAACAGCAGAATTGTATTCTCATTTTATTAATATAATAATAATATGACAAAGCAAATGAGTATAACATACTTTGTTCAAAAAAACCATAAACCTTTTCCCGATTTTATATTTTAAAACTCACCATTTTGATTGTGTTTTTATAATTTTTTAAATGATCACGAAAATCTTAAACTAAATTAATTATATCACACTCATTTATTCTGTATATAGTTGGTTTTGTAAAATTTTGTTTAATTAATTTTGGCAATTTTTGCAATGTCAGTCTCAAATACCCGTTCTAACCAACCCTAGGGTTATTTTTTTAGTAGTAATATCACAAGATAGTTAAAATAAATTCAGAATAGCTCGACAGATTTTTTAAAACCGTTTTGCCAGGAAATAGACATGAGAGCCTGTAGACTCTACAGTGTAAAGCCCGAGTGTCTAATGCAATGGTAAAAGGTTTAAGAAAAGACCTGGAGAACTATTTTTAATTTTTCTATCTCTTGTGTGGTATTTGTTGGATTATATTTTGACGTAACAGCAATGCCCCCACATTAAACAAAAAAAATGTTTAGTAGTAATATTACAAGAGTGAGAATAAATTAAAAACCTGTTGACAGGAAATAGATACAGCCTGTAGGGCATTTCGTGAAAATAATGTACAGTAAGTTATTCCCACTATAATAATGTTTTGATTTATACATACAAACATGAGTGAACTTGAAATTTTCTATTGGTTTTTAAAAACGTCAAAAAATAATCAACATTATATCACAAGAGATACAGCTTTATTGAAAATAATTCTACAGATATTTTAAAAACTTGTTATTGCCTAATGAAATTTTTTATTGGTTTTTGGAAACTTCAAAATATAATTTTTGTTAAAAATCCATTCATTTAATTAAAGGTCTGACATTGCCTTAAAAAATCATGTAAATTAAAAATGAATAAAATTACAAGAAAAAACATGGATTATTCTGTTGTTTCAAAAATATCAATTACATAAATATATATTTCACAATAATTATAATATTTTTTTATATATAGGTATAGCCTTTAAATTATGTAATAATTGCAATTCTTTGTATTTAATAGCCCCTCATGGCCCCAATGTTTCATTTTAGCTGTAGAATAGTTAAACAAAATGTAAATTTCACTTTTTGAGTATTACAGATTTTAAGTACTTGTACACCATTTTAAACAATATTCTTTAAATTTTTTAAGACTCATTTAATAAACAAAGTTTTTCTATATTATTACGTTGTATAGAAGTTTTGTATTTTTTGGTTTAAACATTTTGAGTATCACAATATAAAAATTTAAGCACCGCCCGTATTTTTAGATTTTGGGTTTGGATTTAGAGACAATTTGACCTACTCAGGCATGTACAAATATTTTACATTTTAACGCATAAAGGAAAAATCAAGTGCAACAATATTTTTTCTAAATTATAATTTGAAACATCTATAAGAAATTTTCGTCTACTGGTTTTTGAGATACCACCACAATCTTTTGTTTTTCCTATGGCCGCCATATTGGAATTTTACAGGATTAGGTAGAAAAAAAAACAAACTACACAAGTTATGGCGGCCATTATAAAAACAAAAGATGGTGATGGTAACCCAAAACATAGAAGCAAAGAAATTTGATGAAAAGGTAGAATATTGTGTATGTGTACATTTAAAACTTACTTTTTTTTAATTCCCAGGAATAACAAAGTTATAATGATTTTTTGATTTAAAAGGATTTTTAATATTTTGAGAACCGCTGGCTTTTTTCGAATTTTAAAATTGTATGTGCTTGTAATTACGCAACTTTTTTTAATTTTACCGACATTGTAGCTCTTTAAATAAAAATAATACCCATAGAAGGATAGAATTTGTATTTTATACAATCGTTTTAAAAAGTTATAGTGTTTTCTTTTCTTACATTCTCATATAAAGAGTGTCCCGAAAATGGCGTACTAACCATTTGATATAAATATTTTAAATAATAATTATTTAATTAAAATCCTAAAATTTGAATTTGTTTTTATTTTCATATCTATATTTGATATTTTTTTAACATCAATGAGTCAAAATATTATATTGGTTGGATAATAATAGCAATTATAGTCTAAATAAAATGAAAACATAAGTAAAGGATGATTTAGTACAAATAATTAAAGTCTTGATAATTTTTAGAAATCTTTCTTTTAGTGAAATATTTTACAAAATAAAGCCACATAATTTTGTTATAAAATTTTAGGAATATCAATATCCTTTGTGGTAGTGTTTAAAAATCAAGTACCTAGTAGGTATTACCTACCTATAATTCAATTTAATCTATTATTTATTGTTATTATGTTTTTTCCGTATAAAATATGTATTTGAAAATGTTCTTTAAAAGTTTGCCTAAAATATCAACTTTAACGGGCAATATAAAGAAGTAAGATTATATGTTAATACAAAAAACATAAATACCTACCTGTAGTGCCAAATCATCTCATAAACTTGGCTAAAAACTTGTCGATCATGCGTTTGTAATAAACTTTGAGGTTTATTTAAAAAAATGTCTTAAACAGTTTAAAGCATGAACACATGTCCGTCCGTTTAGGTTACGGTGGCAAATCATTGGGTCCGTCGGGGCAGCTTTCTCATATAATCACGCAGCATCGACAAATTCTTTGGCGGGACCCGCCGGCAGAGGGCGGCGGCGTGATGGGTGCAAAATAGGCATGTACTTTTATATTTGGTAAGTGGTTCTGAAAAAAAAAAAGAAATTAAATTAGATTATTGTTTTATAACATGGTTTAAAATCACTGAAAAGAGTGACATATTTTATGGAATCTGAGTTATATCGGGTGTCTTGGAACCACGTTGTCTATGCCTTTTTGGGCGTTTAAAATTTGTATTGGGGAGGGGGCGGCAAATTTTTGGTACAAATTTTACCGCCAATATCCGAAAACAGTCATTATGCATAATAACTAGGCATTTTAGGAATTATGCGTAAAGCCTAAAGTTCTTAGTTATTATGCATAATAACTAAAACTCTTTAGGCCTAATATCTAATATCTAAATGTAAAGTTTGCTCGTTTACTCTTAAACTTAATTCAATTTAGATTTAACTATAATATCCCTGCTGAAAAAGACGGGTAATATCGGATGATTGCGGATAAAAAACCAAGCTAGTTTTATGTCCATTTATATCTGTTTTCATCCGACATATCTGATTTTACCCGGCATGTCGGTTTTTATCTGCAATTGCGGGTATAAATATTATCCGCGAACGTCGGGTTTTATCTATTTAGTTCTATGTCTGCTTTCATCTGGTTTCATCCGCAAATACCTGTATTTGGGTTTATATCTGCATTCACCCGATTTTATCTGATTTTATCCGCAAACATCTACTTTAATCCGCAAACGTCTGCTTTATCCGATTTCACCTGCAAACATATGCTTTTATACGTGAAGATCTACTTTCATCCGCGAACATCTATTTTAATCCACAAACATCTGATTTCATCCGCAAACATCTACTTAAGTCCGCAAAAGTCTGCTTCATCCGATTTCACCTGCAAACATCTGCTTATATCCGCAAAGATCTGCTTTTATCTTTGAACATCTGCTTTAATCCACAAACATCTGTTTTAATGCGCAAACATCTAATTTAGTCCGCAAAAGTCTGATTCATCCGATTTCACCTGCAAACATCTGCTTTTATCCGCGAAGATCTGCTTTTATCTGTGAAGCAGACGCTTTAATCCGCAAACATCTGCATTTATACGCGAACGCCTCCTTTAATCCGCAAACACCTGTTTTAATCCGCAAACATCTGATTCTATCCGCAAACATCTGCTTTTATCCGCAAACATCTATTTTAATCTGCAAACATCTGCTTTTATCCGCAAACATCTGATTTTATCCGCAAACATCTGCTTTTATCTGTGAAGCAGACGCTTTAATCCGCAAACATCTGCATTTATCCGCGAACGCCTCCTTTAATCCGCAAACACCTGTTTTAATCCGCAAACATCTGATTCTATCCGCAAACATCTGATTTTATCCGCAAACATCTATTTTAATCTGCAAACATCTGCTTTTAACCGCAAAAATAAATGCAGATGTTTGCGGATAAAATCAGATGTTTGCGATTAAAATCAGATGTTTGCGGATAAAATCAGATGTTTGCGGATAAAAGCAGATGTTTGCGGGTAAAAGCAGATGTTTGCGTATAAAATCAGATGTTTGCGGATAAAAGCAGATGTTTGCCGATAAAAGCAGATGTTTGCGAATAAAATCAGATGTTTGCAGATAAAAGCATGTTTGCGGGTGAAACCGTATGAAAGCAGATGTTCGCGGATAAAGTGAGATGTTTGCAGATAAAAGCAAATGTTTTCGGATGAAAGCAGATGTTTGCGGATAAAAGCAGATGTTTGCAGGGGTGCACTAACCGGATGAAATCAGGCGTTCGCAGATAAAAGCATGTTTGCGGGTGAGACCGTATGAAAGCAGATGTTTGCGGATAAAACCAAACGTTTGCGGATGAAAGCAGATGTTCGCGGGTGATTGCAGATGTTCGCGGATAAAAGCAGTTGTTCGCGGGAGACTGCAGATGTTCGCGGATGAAATCAGATGTTCGCGGATAAAAGCAGATGTTGGCGGATAAAAGCATATGTTGGCGGGTGAAATTGGACTAGGCAGACGTTTGCGGGTAAAAGCATATGCTCGCGGATAAAACCAGACGTTTGCAGATAAAACCAGACAAAAATAGACAAAAAAAATGCAGGTAGTAATCGCGGATAAAACCAGACGTAAGCAAACGTTTGCAGATGATTCCGGACAAATTCAGATATAAACGAAACACAGTGAAGACGGTTAAAAACAGCTGATTGCAGATGATTGCGGGGGTGCACTAACCGGACATAAAACACAGAGCAGATGTTATCAGATGATATTTTTACCCGCTTTTATCCGGCTTCAACGAAGAATTTATACCCGAAATTATCTGCTTTTATCCGGTTTTGACGAAGAATTTATACCCGCAATCATCCGTCATTTTCAGCAGGGATTGAACATATGTCATTGTCCCGTTCTACCTTAGTCAAAGATCTTGGAGTTCTGTTTGATGGTAAGTTTAGCTTTGTAAATCATATTCAAAATATTTGTAACTCTGCTAATAGGCTTCATGGTTTTATTTATCGAAACTGTAAATCTTTTAAAAATATGTTTGCACTAAAGTCGCTAAACTTCAGTTTAGTTCGTTCCAGAGGTTTCGTGGTGGCCATTTGCCTAATGTTGTATTTCACGTTTAATCGGAACTATTTACCTTTTTGTTAATAAAAGTGTTTGCTTAATTTAAAAAAAAAATGTTTCTTTAAAATTAAATCCGGCGCTCTTGTTGGGACACCCTTTATTTTGTGTTAAATATAATAAAAGAAAAAAAACAATTTTTTTGTTAAATTTATTGTTTTATTTTTATTCGATACTTTTTGAGTCAGAAGCGTGAAACGGATCACCAAAAATTGGTGGTTATCCTTTTCAAAATAAATTAGTTTATTTTGTTTAGTTTAGTTGTAAAATACGATTTCCTAAAACAGGGTCCAAATAGTATATTACACTACAAGGGCCGAAAGTTGAATTTTCGGCCCTGCGCGTCATGATGCCCGAGGCGAAGCCATCCCTAATAGCACAGGGAGTAAATGTTAAACTTAACTTAAACACGACACAGCAGGCGAAGTAAACAAGCTAGAGCGATGGTAAATATATCAATGGAAAGGGGAAGGATGCCGGGGAAGGGAAAGGTAATTTTAAGGTCGCAGGTTTACCACAAGCGCGGCAATAAAATCAGTCTAATTACTTAATTGTCACACCTCGTAGAACATATGTAAATTTGAAAATGTTAATATTTTTTGTTAAAAAGATATAATCTTTTGAACTTGTCGCTGCATAGCGTAATAAGCATAGCTTTTGTTGTGCGTCCACTTATCGACACACCTGCTTTTTAATTGCTATTTTGATAGTAGCAATGAAAAAACTCCCTTACGTAGTATCTCCATTTGAATAGTTTAATAAATACAAAACAGTTTTAGGTATTAATAAACATTTAATTTGTAAAAAAGTAGCAATTCGTTAATTAAAATACAGTTTTGTTCTTACTACATTGCCAATGCTGAATTTGCCGTCACGTCCTACTGCTTTGAATTTATCAAACTCTTCATACCTTCTTCTTCTTCTTTGCTTTGTTTGGCTTTTCCCTTCCGGGATTTGGCCAGCTGAATCTTCTCTTTTAACAAGGTACTGGAGCAAGCGAGTCTAGGATAACCTATAGCTTCTCCTGTTTTAATCTTCTTTTTAGTTCATTTTTATATCAGTTTTATTTATTTGAATATTACAGTTCTTTTTTAACACATCTTCCTACACAAATATTCAAACATGAACAAAATTGGAACCCGCGCAGCGGAAGTCACCTTTAAGTCCAAAGGCAATTTTTTTTTTTTTAAATAGTTAATCTTTTAATACTTCGACCTTCCTTTGTGGACATATTTTGGATCTTTAAGAATCTAACGTAGATTCTGAATTTTAAACACTGATCAGTCTATTTTTGTGCTGTGAGCCCGAGCCCCATATTGTCCTCCCAAGGACACTTATCACTTCAGCGGACAATATAGAACTGCTCTTCATACCTTAAATAGGTATGGGAGCACTTTTTATTGAAAACAAAAAAGCAACTTTATTAAATTATTATAAAAATCTAAAATCCACATAAAAAGTATATACGTAACAATAATAATTGTCAATTTATAACATAAAATTGACAATTATTATTATTACTTAATAATTTTTTTGTTGATTTTAGGTTTTATTGATAATTTAATTAGCATTAAAGTAGTAATTTGTTAATTAAAATATAACGTTTTGTTTTTACTTCATTGGCACCGCTGAATTTGCCGTCGCGGCATACTGTTTTGTATTTATTAAAACTCTTCAAATGAAGATACTACGTGTGTACAGTGTGGTATTTATCCCGATAAAGTGAGTGACGTACCAATATTAAATGCAATATGACCGTATATATCAAATGTAGCCATGCGCAGTAGGTACCACGTGGTTGAATCTATGAGCAGTATACTGCGTATACCTATAGGTACCGAATGATTGTACTTGTGCGCAGTAGTTACCGGATGATATATGAGGAGTATAAAATCAAAGGCACAATCTCCATTTTTTCATATTTTTAGTTCCCATTCAAATAAAACTAAAAGTAACAAGCTAAAGTGACAATATTCCTGTTTAATTCGCATTGAAAAATTAGAGATGAGATCAAAAGTGACAATCTCCATCGGTTAGTGCGTATCAAAAACGGCAATCTCTGCTTAGGCCACGCGCCGCCCACACGTAATTGTCGGCTGATAAGTTTGCGTGCAATTCATTTCATTAAAATTTTTACTTAAATATTTATATATATTTTTGTGTTATGGAAGTGAATGCGTCTCCTGTCACACCAACAAAGGCAAGAAAGCAAATAAGGCAACCTGACAAATGGAAGAAAAATGTTGAAAAACGATTTCTGTATACAATTGTTGCACATAATTTGTTCGAAGTTCAACCCACTTATGAATTCTACGAAGAATTTGCCAATATACCCAACGTGTACAAATAATTCTTTCTCAAAATGAACGATATACAGGCATTTCACAGGATCTTCTATGAGACAAAAGACAAAGCCACTCAAGATACCTTTATTTTAAAGTACTGTACCGTAAGTCGCACAGTCCTCGCCGGCCGAAAAATGAAAAACCCTCTCCAAAAAGCACCAGGTAAAATGCTTCATTCGTAATTTTTTATCCAAGGAGAAGGTCCCGGTGTGTTAAACAGCTTTTTTAAATGTTTTGGGGATATCAAAACACAGACTTAGCTATGTAATGAAACGGTTTACTGAAACAGGCCAAGTCCCGATTGAACGGAGGGGTGGGGATCGAAAAACTGCTAAATATCGGGATAAACTGGAAAGGGTGCTAATGTTTATAAATCAAAGTATACTGAATCTAATTACTGCCGTTCAGTCAATCTTACCCTTAATATTCCTTGCTTAAAGCTCAGTTCAAATCCTATAGAGTTCATATTGTCCATGCCCACAATAACTTCATCTTCAATATCTGCTACTAATGCTCGATGTTTAAATTTCGTGTTTCCTATGACCATCGTGATGTCCACTTCTCCACGAACAGTAACGGTTTCTCCTGTTGCAGTACGTAGTCACCGATTGGTAGATTTGATCTTGGACATTTCGACAATATCTGGCCTAATAATTGTCTTCGTCGCACCTGTATCCAGCAGCAGCATATGTAATTTTCCGTTAATAAAACCATCCACATAAACACTACTGGATTGGTGTAAAAGAGATGCGACACGTTCGATATCCTCTGGGGCATGCTGGTTACAGGTCGACGGTGGCCCCTTTTCCTCGACCCTATCTAGTTTTCCGACTGAGATGAAGTCGGCGCCTCCTGGCTTTTTCTGCAACGACTTCGTATATGCCCGAGCTTTCCACATCTCCAACACCGGATTTCCTTCTTTTCTGGTAGATTCTCTTTAAGAACTCGCCTGATCTCTTTAATTATACTGGGTTCCTCCCCTTTTTCTTCCTCGACTTTCCTAATTCTATGCTGGCTCCTGCAGCTCTGCTTTGGCTTGAACATGTTCCAAATGTGTGGCCATATCGCAGTTCCAGATGTTTCACCAACGCTTCGTAATCTTCTTGTTCGTTGGGAGAAAGTGTCTGCAAGATGTCGGTTGCATCTCCGCGTAAAGCAAGAGTCAATGCTGTAGCCTTCTCTTCTGGTAGCCAGCCATTTGCTTTTGCTGCTGCCTCAAACTGACGGATGTAGTTGGTCCAAGAAGTTTTTCCATCGAACTGAGGTGGTTTCATCCGGACTCGGCTACCCTCCTGAACTGTTCCTGGTTCCGCCAGCATCATGGGTAGATTTAGAGCTGTCAGTTTACTATTTCTTTTTCTTATTTTATCTTCCAATTTCTCATTTAATTTTTCCTCTCTCGTATCCAATTCCTTTCTTACGTCATTCAATTCCATCCTTACGTCCTCTTTTAATTCATTGACATTATCTAGAATCTTCTGTTCCAAATATTCTTTAAAATATTTAGAATTTTACAGAATTTTCTGCTGCAATTCGCTAGAATTTTCCAGCATTTTCTGTTGTAAATCGACTTTCAAATCATTAGAATTTTCTAGCATTTTCTGTTGTAACTAACTTGAATTTTCCAGAATTCTTTGTTGTAAATCGCTAGAATTTTCCAACATTTTCTGTTCTAAGTCGTTGAAATTTTCCAGAATCTTCTGTTGTAAATCGATTTTCAAATCGCTAGAGTTTTCCATCATTTTCTGTTGCAAATCGACTTTTAGTTCTTTAGAATTTTCTAGCATTTTCTATTTTAAATCGTTTAAATTTTGCAACATTAAATGCATATCACACGGGCCTTCAAATAAATACGCAACTGGATTTTCACCTTCCTGTTCCAACGCTTCTCGAAGCCGCTGCTGCAACACATTATTTTTTCCAGTTGTTTCACATTCCCTTTCTTCTAGCTTCCGCTTAAGGTCCGCCACTCTTAAGTCCATTAACGAAACCATTTTTACGAAAATTCACACTAACCGCACTCCTGACACCAATTGTAACGTTTTTTACTGTTCGTAGTGTGAATTAAAACACGCTCTGGTTCATTAACGAACTAAACTATTTATTTTATAACTTAATTACACTTAAAACCCTAAAAAACTATAAAACCAACTAAACACTTAACTACGAATTATTTATATATCACTACTGTTCAATATATTTATACACCAAACTTTGCTTTATATAATAAGCCATCAGAAAACCTATATTTAAAATAAACCCTAACTTTTAGATCAACTTGTTTAATTGAATTTGGCCAACCGTTTAAAATACAGGGTGTTCCGAAATTAGTGCACCATACTTTAACAGCAGATTCTACGTGCAAAAATAAGAAGACTCCAGTAAAACCATGCTGTTCCTCAATAATCACATTTTTAAAAACAAAGGTGACATATGGGATAATAAGCTTTTCAAACAGCTTAGATATTGCAGACTGAATACAAATCTGTCTATAATTTTTCACACTAGATCTGTCACCTGATTTAAAAACTCGTTGCACAAAGGACGTTTCCAAATTTGAGGGAATACTCCAAGTTGTAGAAAGCTGTTAAAAATAAAATAATAACGGGTCACAAATTGAAAAAGCAGTATCTTTAAGAAATGCATTAGAGAGTCCATCTGGACCAGCACCCTTATTGGTATCCAATTTTAGTAGATTTAAGAACAACTCTTCATATGAAAACTGACTTAAAGACAAATCCACAAAGTCAAAAACTTGCAAGTCAGGTTCAACAGCACTAGCCATCTGATCATCAACATTGTATACTGACTGAAAATGATTGGCAAAGAAATTAACTATTGATTGACCACCATCACAAATAGTATCATTAAAAAAAACAATACTAGGAACAACAGAATTTTTCTTTTTTGCTCTTTACAAAATTCCAAAAAGATTTCGTATTTACAATAACTTGACTCCCTGACCTCTTTCTATAAAGTTTTTGTAGCAGGACACATTTAAGTTTTTACAACTACGTCTAAGTTGAGAAAAGAGATGATAATGAACCTCAAGGTTACTTTCTTTAAATTGCTTGTGGGCTTGCTTCTTCAAGATAGTTAATGACTTTAATTCCCTAGAGAACCAGGAAGGAAAATGAGAATTCTTTTTAAATTTCTTAGGTACAAACAATTCAAGCACTTGATTAAGTACACTGTAAAAGTATTCTACCATTTTGTCAACATCGTCCAGAAAATAAAGGTATTGCCACTCAAAATTAAACAAACATTTTTTTATGGATAAATAATCAGCCTTACCAAAGTCATAGTACCAATCACAGGTATTTTCTAGAGCACAATGACCTTTATTTATGCGAATTGAAAACTAGATTGTACTGGTCCAAACCTTAAAAGGAAAAATTGTTCAATATGCAGCTTTCCTTTTCTGATATTACCTCACTGACTACAATGTTGTTGGAAATAGCATCTCTGCTAAGGCCAGGGAGATTATAATCCCCAAAGAGTATATGCATGGAGTTTTTAAAGTTGTTATGCAGATAATCAACAGCTGTTGACACATGATCACGATATAGATTGAGACTGGAAATTGGCGGAATATACACACAACCCAGTATTATTGATGAGTTTTTTGATTTAATTTCTACAAAAACTTTTTCACCATTTTACATTGATATGGTTTTTTAACAGCTATAAAGACCCCACCTCCTCTGGAATGACACACCGATCAGTTCTAAATAGATTATATGTATTGCCCATTATTTCATTATCATAGAAACCGTGTGTCAACCACGATTCAGTAACACATATATATATATATATATATATCACATAAAATTACTTATTTTTTACCAGAAAAATCAAAACATTGTCAAATGAAGATAAAAATTAAAATTTTTGTTATTAATAATTACCTTTTGCATAAATTTTGATTATTATAAAAATATTATTTTCATTAGAGATAATTTTAGTTTCCAAAAAATTGAAACATAGTTTGATGAAATTATATTAATAAAAAATTATACATTATATTTAAAAAAAAATTAAATAAAAAAACTAAAAATAAAATTTTAATTTTTGCCGACCTCTGGTTCGGAGAAAGATGCATGAAACAAGAGAAATACATTTTTAAAATATTTTTTACCTTCATATAATAATAATAATAATAAATAAAGAAATAAATATAAAGTGTTACAAAATATGACATTTTTAGTAATCCTACTTCAAAAACTATAGACACACTAAAGAAAACTTCTGACACTATAGAATACTCCTGACACTATAGGACACTATAGAACTGCGTTCGAAAATATTATAGAACACTATAGATTAGTGTTTTTCAATAGTGTTCTATAGTGTTTTTTGACGAGGGCATGTTCAAATTAAAAATAATTATTATATTTTGTTAATAAAGTGATTGAAGCGATAAATAATATTAATTATTATTTTCTTTCTACAAACATTGTTGATTTTTATTATAAAAATGATTACGTATAAGAATGTTTTAAGTATAAAGCCAGTGATCACAGGGTTTTGTTATTATTGTAGCTAAATTTAGTTATCTTTAATATACATATTTTTACAATCAATTTGGCGACAACAATTAAAAATAGGCTTTGAACTTATTTTAGTCAACAAATAAACCATATTTCGAAATCTAATTATTTGATAATATTTATATGCTCATATTATTATTAGATTTGTTGTGTGTAAGCATTTTTATTACCCGCCTATGGTTACTGTTTACTTACGAGCACTATTCGTCCAAAGTCAAATAAAAATACATATTTTTACGAATAAAAAGTTAAGCGGTTTTTAAAATTGTTTTCAAATTAAAACATAAATCTTACCGAAATCAGTACCAAGGGCAAGCAAATGGAAAACCGATAATTTTTGTTTGATAAGTCATTACCCATTGAAAAATAACTGTATTGGCACATAACACATTCTACTTACTCTAAGTCTTCGAATTCCGATTCTAGTAATAAGCTGACAGTCGTAGAGCTCGACCCGTTGTAAGTTGTGACAAGAGGTGAGGTGTTCCAACGACGCATCTGTCACCAGCGGACAGTTGTCCAATTCTAGAACAGTGAGGTTTTCGGCCGCGCATGGTGACATCGACAGATGTCGAATGCCTTCGTCGGTGATTAGTTCACAATGTGACAACGTCTAAAAAAACCATATTATAATTTCTAATTCATAACAAACTTACTAAATTATTTACCAGTTTGTCTATCCTAGGGCAGCCCATGGCTAAATGAATTAAAGTAATGTCTGTAATTAAAACACATTCGTCCAAGTCCAATTTTTCTAAAAACCGACAATTCTGAAAATAAAAAAACATTTCTTCATTTCAAACTAGTCAATGAGTTATAACAGATAATGGCGGGCTTACGCCATAAAAAACTCGACAATACTGTGTGTTCCGTCTCAGATAACAATAGTGAGGTGCATCAAAACGCACATTGCCTTCACGTAGGGCGGAATCATGCGTGAAGGTAAAAGCGCTGCGTTGATTCTCATTTTATGATTATAATCATTAAATGGAAATACACGCACGTGATTGGTATGAGGACATGAAATAATTGCATACTTTTTTTTATTACTGAAACTGCTGACGTCTAACTTGGTTATTCAAAATTTATATTAGGTATATCATATATGTGTTCATTTTAAAACTTTCCACCCTAAATTTTTCGAAAACTGGAAGATTTTTGAAAAAACGCCGACAAATTTGATATATAATATATTATAAGGGGGCACATTTTTTTATGGCAATTTTTGGTTTCCCACCCTGACCCCCTGCGCCCAGAAGCTACCCCCTTAAGAATTTTAATAGGGAAGGGGTATCAAGTCATACATCATTTTCAAGGTCTTTAAAATTCATACAAATTGGTGTATTATTTAAAATCGTTTTAAAGACATTTGGAAAAAACCATTTAATCAACCAGGAGATAAGCACAATAATACTAATAAAAATAATAAAACATAATTGATTTGTATGTTTTTTATTGTTTTTTATTATTATAAAAAGTAGTAAGGCATAATAGAAAAAAATAATGTAATAAATGCTCAAAAATTTGGTTACCCAACCTTACTCCCTGCACCCAGCAGCTACCCCCTTAAGAATTTGAATAGGGTTAATACATTTATACCTACAACTCAGAGGAGATTTTTATAGATTTTCCGTTGGATAAAATTGATATTGTTGGTATTAAACTTAAATATCTTAACGTTTGTATTAATTTATATACTGTTTACATACCACCTTCCACGACCGTTCACGAATATTCAACAATATACGACTGCTTGGAGTGTATTTTAGATTTTGATGCCCATAATATAATGACTGGAGATTTTAACATACCGGAGCCTAATGATTTTTATCAATATAATAACACTACAGTGTCAATTAATCAGTTAAAATCTTTTTTGCACTTTTGTCAATTACAACAACAAAACTTTATCCTAAATACAAGTAATAGAATTTTGGACCTTATAATAACATCTACAAAATTTATAAATTTAATATACTATGCACTGCAGAACGATCACTTGAACCGTTAGTAAATGAAGATCACCATCATCCTTCTATAGACTTTAAGATTTTGATAAATAAACACGAAACAAAAAAATTCAAACAGCATAAAATACAAAAATATTATTTAAAAAAAGCAAATTTAGCAATGCTATATAACCCACCATGGTTTAGCAGCTCAATTATAAAAAAAATTAATATAAGGGAGGCCTACCAACAATTTATTGTACAAACGGAAAATAATGTTAAATCAAACCCGAAGCAGCTATGGTGCTTTATTAACAATAAAAAGAATTCTAGTAGGATCCCTGGTGAGATGACGATAGACGGAAGACCACGTACAACTCCTAATCAAATTGTGAACGCTTTTGCCGAATACTTTATTAAAGTGTTTGTAAGACCGGTAGAGTGTGGTATTAGTGACTTACATAGTAATATTAACTTAAAAATATCATCAAATTTTAACTCAGGACCTGATTGTGTTCCAGCGTTTTTTGTAAAGAATTGTATTAATTTTTTGTCAATGCCATTAATGCATATTTTTAATTTAATCTTATCAAACAGTACATTTCCGGTACAGTGGAAAATTTCTAGGGTGTCTCCGATTTTTAAAGCAGGTAATAAATGCTGTATAAAAAATTACTGTCCTATAGATATTATATGTAATTTTGCAAAAATATTTTAAACTATACTGACAAAGTATATTAATTTTCACATTTCTCCCCTTATATGTTCATCTCAACATGGTTTTGTTAAGGGTCGCTCCACGGTTACAAATTTATGTAATTTTACTGACTTAATATCATATTCTTTGAATAAAAAACTACAAATAGATGCAGTATATACTGATTTTACTAAAGCCTTCGACAAAATTCAACATCCTATTCTGCTTAGTAAACTTCATAGCTTTGGGTTTAGTTGTAACATAATTAATTTATTTAAATAATATTTGCATAAGAGATATCAATACGTTGAACACAAAAACTACAAATCAAAAGTATATTGTGCAACCAGTGGGGTGACTCAAGGAAGCAACCTATAGGTCCTTTATTGTTTTTAATGTTTGTTAATGATATAACAAAAGGAATGTGCTCAAAAAATTTACTCTATACCGATGATTTTAAAATATTTAGAGCTATTACATCGCATGAGGATTGTGTAAGTCCTCAGAATGATCTTAATGTTTTGTACAAGTGGTGTAAAAAACTCATTTATATTTAAACATTGAAAAATGCTATGTAATGAGGTTCTCTAGAAAGGTTAATAATATAATTTTTAATTATAAAATAAAAAATGAAACTTTAAAAACTGCTGAAACAATTAAAGATTTAAATGTTACTTTTGACAAATCTCTATCATTTGTTCCCTATATAAACTTAGTTATAACAGCAGCCAATAAAATGTAAGGATTTATTATACGTAACACCAAAGAATTTAGAAACTTAGATACTCTGAAGTGCGTATATAATGCTTATGTTCGTAGTAAGTTTGAATATGCCTGTGTCATTTGGTCACCATACTATAACATTCACATTGATAATATTGAAAGAATTCAAAGAAAATTTTGTAAATATGTATACATATATGTTACCTTATTTATGGATATTACCCCGCTTTTAACTTTGATTATGTAAATGCCTTAATATCTTTTAATATGGAAACTTTAGAAATACGTAGAAGAAATTCACGCCTAATTTATCTACATAAAATAATTCATGGTACAATTTTTGACCCTGATATTCATTCTAAAATAAAAGTTAATATTCCAAGGCTGAACTCTAATTATCAACAAACTTTTCATATATACATTCTATACATTCTATAGAAGCTGCCAATAATAATGAACGACTGAATTCCCCTTTAATTTCAATGTGCCGTATAATTTACTCGATGAACATTGTGACATTTTTTACTTGTCTTTAAACCAATACATTAGTAAAATAAGAGCCTTACCCTAAAATGTATTAAAATTATATTACACTGTATTTAATAATGTGTCCTTTGCATGGACGTTTGTCTGTTGGATTAATAAACGATTATTATTATTATTATTATTATTATTTAAAATCCCTATACAACGGATTTTTTATTACGTTTGCTGCTGTAGCATTTTTTAGCGTTTGGTTATAATTTAAATATAATAATAAGAAGAAGATATACAGTGCTTGCAAATCCAAGTCCGACCCGGTTGTTCAATGCCCGCGTGAAAAGAATAAGGATAGAACGTGCAGTTGACCTCCTTTACAATCCGCACGCCTGCCGGCTCTGACCAATAAAATTCTGTTTGGCTTTCTATCCTTGTTCTTTTCACGCGGGTATTGAACAACGGTCCTTCCCAACCCGGTCGGACTTGGATTTGCAAGCACTGCATGTATCCGGTAAAGCACCGAGCGCAAACTTTTTTCTGTGCGTTACCAGACCACCGCATCTGGTGGTCGGTAGCCACACTAACATATTTTGCAACTGACAAGGAACACATGAATTGTAAAGCTGTTCATCTTTCATGTGACCGATTTTATAGGAACCGTGCGAATAAAAAGTTTTGTAAATTTTGTCGCCGTCCAAATGAAAAGCTTGTTATCAGTCATGTGTGTGTATTTTAGAAAAACCATTCAAACAAACATAAGAATGAATTGTTTAGGTTGTTTTTATTAAATATTAAAAAAGTATAATGCGTTATATAAAAAAAAATTGCAATAAATTCTCAAAATGTTTCTCGTTATTTCCCAAAAAGTAATATAACCGTTGATCGAATTCACGGCTCTTCTAAATTTAAAGGTTGAGGGCTATAAACAACAGACTTTAAATGATCCCACACGCAAAAATCCAGTGGTGATAAATCAGGTGATCTAGCCGGCCACTCTATAGGTTCTCTTCGCCCTGTTCATTTATTTGGAAATTAATTTTCTAACCATTGCCAGACTGAAAGAACATAGAGGGGAGGGGCTCCATCTTGCTGAAAATAGAATTCATCTCCATCAAGTTAAAAATTTCCATTTCCATCGAGTTGATTTTCAACGGATTCAATAATCAAAGAATGGATTATGTTGTCTAAACAATTGTTTATAGTCCTCAACCTCAAAATTTAGAAGATGTTTGTGAAAGAATCACAGAACTGTCGTTCGATTTAGGGATGCGCATCGAATACAAAAACATCGATGTTGGCATCGATGTTGACATCGAAGGTTGAATATCGATGTCATCGATATATCGGGTAGAAAACATCGATTTTTCTAAAAAATCGATGTTTCAAACTAAAACACAAGTCTAAGAAAATCATGTATAAAATATATTTATTTTCAACTTATAAAAAAATACAAATAAAAAAATAAACAAAATAAGTCAAAAAAAGTTAAGTTAAATCCCAATTTTGCCTATCCAAGTTCTGTAGAAACAGTTATTTAGACAATAGTAACATCGCAAAGTCTAACATCGATGTCATTAAAACATCGAAAATACAAGATCGATGTTAAAAAATCGATGTTCACTTCATTAAAATCGATGTTTGACGAACATCGAATATTCGATGCGCATCCCTAGTTCGATTCCACAAATTGTTTTTCAAAAAGTTCGCCGTGAATTTAATTAACGGTTATATCACTGTTTGGGTAATAAGTGACAACATTTAGAGAATAATGCATTATATTTTTTGTAATATTAAAAAAACCATAAAAACAACCTAAATAATTCATTCTTGTTTTTTATAAGTTACATTGTGTTTGATTGAATGATTTTTCTAAAATATCTCAAAAATAAACAGACCGATATAAAAAAATAAAACACTGATG